AATTCTTTTAAAATATTTAAAATAATTTATAAAAATTAACATGTATATTAAAAATAATAAAATTAAAATTTAATTTAATAAATATAATTAAAATATATAAATAAAAATTATTTTTTTTACTTTATTTTATTATTATAAAAGTTAAATATTAATAAATTTATTAAATATATAATAAAAATAAAAATATTATAAAAAAAGATTTTTTTTATTTATATATAATTTTTAAATTAAATTATTATTAATTAATTTTTTATAATATTTTATTTTAAAATAAAATTATATAATTATATATAATTTAAATAAAAATAATAAAAATAGTAATATATAATAATATTTATTTTTATTATTAATAAAACTATATTAATTAATATAATTTATAAATAAATAAATAAATAAATATTTAAATATTTAAATAATAATTATATAATGTATTTATTATTTATTTTTATATAATATTTTAATTAATTCTATATAATAATATAAAGAGTATTAAATATATATATAATTTTAACAATTGATATTATTTCTTATTTTTTAATAATAAATAATATAGGTTTAATATTTTTCTTTATTTAAAGTTTCATATAATTTTACTAGTAACTAACTAATTAGCATAATTACACATTATTGAGATAGATAAGCTAGAAAGTTAAAGGTATTTTAAATTAATCTTCTACTAAGTTGAGAACATCATTCACTTGGGGGAATATACTAATCAGTTAGTTATAGCTATTTACTTGTCACTCTCTTTTAATTAAGATTCTTCAGAGTAAATTGTATCACTCCCTGCTGCCTAGTTACAGTCAATAGTACCATACATCCCCATCAACTATATTGTTCACAGACCAAGTAGTTAATCAAATCTCCCCACCAAGTGGCACCACCTGGCAACCAACCATCTTTGGTCCTTGCCAATCACACCCGCCAATCCACTGCCTAGCCGCTGTCTGTGGAGTACTTGGGAAGTTAACAGTCAACGGATGCCTCCCGCACCATACGAATACAACTCATACAGTCCATCCAAAACCACAGCCAACCCACCCCGAATAATTTCCTGCTTCTCCGCCCGCGACAGAGAGAGAGAAAAAAAAAAAAAAAGAAAAAAAAAATTCTCTCCCTGGGAACAATCTATATCAGAAAACGGAAACCATCGGACTGTTCAACTGCTCTGTAGTTACTCCGTATCTAGGAGGATCATACGGAGAACATATTCCTAGCCCTTTTACCTACATGAACTGAAGTAAAAGGTCTTGCAACTACTAGGAAAGTGAGTTCTTTTTGTTTTCCATTTCATGCAAGATTAGTTCTACCTACATCTACCAAACCCAGCCCCATCATCTCCAGTGTCCACACGCTCCGTACTCCGTATGCATGCAGAAACTTAACGCCTTAACGATTCTTGTGCTTCTTATTTTTGGTCCCATCCAGTCCCCAGTTCCCCCCAGTCCCCAGTCCCCAAGTCCCCAGTCCCCAGCCCCATTCCACTGATCCCCATCCCATTCACGGAGTAGTTACGGATACGCTTCAAAAATTCTAAATTTGTCGCAAATCACATTTTTTTTACTCTCATCTCTTGC